ATAGCAACCAATCTACGAAAAGGAAAACTCTGATTTTAAAATCGTGGAGAAAGCAATGGAAAGCCACTCCACTATCTTTTCCAAGAATGCAAGAAAATTCATGTATAAGAAAGAAAATGAATCAGGAAGAGTCATGATCACTTACGTCCCTAAGTGGTGTGGAAGTAAAACATATTGAAGCTGGAAGTAAATAACCAATATTTTCAACTTATTGTGATTTTATTTCAAGAAAGGTAAAATGCAACAAGCCCGCTGATATATATATCTGGGCAATGTATATATTACACTGAGTAAAATAATATCCGCTTTTGTTTATCAAATTTATCCTTAAAAAATAATGCACAGTTACACTTGATTCAGTTATATATTCATCATTATTTGTACTGATTGGTTGTCACTTAGACAGCTCTTCGATACCTTTTGAGTAAAATTTAGCGGGTTTTGATGTGAAAACATTTTCATCGAACATCTGGTTTTAATGCTTTTCATATCAAAGTATATTTCATCGATTAAAAAAGTTAATAATCGTTTGGTGCAAAGTCAGGTGAGTATAGCAGGTAGAATAAAACAATCAAACTGAGTTTCAAAAAGTGGTCCTGTGTTATTTTTGCCGTATGCAGCCTTGCCTTTTCATGAAGACCATATTTTTGTTTTGACGAGGACAGCGTGCTTTTCGACTAAACTTTATGGAAACGTCGAAATTATGTAATAGACGTCCTTTTATATGGCAATGAATGCTGTAAAATCTTCACAAAGCTAAAGAAGAGATTTAAAGCAGCAGAAATATGTGGTTTTACAGTAACATGCTAAGTATACCATGAATCGAATATGTGAACAACGGGGAAATTGGAAACAAAAAGAAAATTTATACTTAAGATTAGAAAGAGACAGTTGAAATTTCTAGTGCGCATTGATGAGGAAAGAGGGTTTGGAAAATTTAATACTGACAAGAAAAATTGAATGAAAGCAAGGACAGATGAAAACAACTTAGTGGCCTTGAGTAATTGGATGTCGGAACAGGGTTTAGGAGAAAATAACAGAAAGACAAAGATTATTATGAGCTACAAAAGACAGGAAATTCTGGAGAGCTAAGATCGCCTACGTCCTGAAGGGACATGGTACGTAAAGAAGAAAAGAATAATACTCCGACGATCAACTTTTCATCACTTGTTTTGGTATATTTAAGAAACTGCTTGTTAAGATGATACGTTCATCATGACAATTGGCTCTGAAAAGCGGAAATTACTTATGACTCAGCCTAAAAATCACTGTGATAGTTTGAACGCTTTAAAAGTAGTTTGTATCGTTTTCTATTGAAGTTTTCTCGGGGAAATACGTTTCATGGTCGGCTGGACCAAATAAAATGTATTATGATCAAATGAAGGGGACACTTGCAGATAATCAACCTTATACGATGCAAGAGGTTAGCATATTACTCAAAATATCCAAGATCTGTCACTATTTGAACCAGCTGCTTTGATGTTTGATTTTTACATAAGTTAAACGAAAAAAAAAAAAAAAGCTACCAGAAAATATATTCCCCAATTACAACGTAAAGGAAATAAGGTTGAAAAACGATTTTCAATATTTCGTTACTTAAAACATAATAATATATTTTAATAATGACGTAAAGTAACTGAAGAATAATAAATAAATATTAACAGTTGGTTGGTCGTTTCCGTGTATTTCCTTCCGCTAAATTGGTTAGATAATCCTCGTTACTTAAGCCGACTCAGGCATATTTGCGTTTCTTCAACATCCACCAGAACTAAACTCTGGATTATATTGTAAATAAATTAAGGGGCCCTTAGTTACAGTTTGAGGAAGCCACAGTTTCAGTTTCTACATTGCAACTATGTTAAGTGGATCTTAGTTTTAGGTTTTGTATTGCAATTATGTAGAAGAGACCTCACTTACCATCTGAGAATATCTTATTTTTCGTTTTTATATGGTAACTATATTAAGTGTAATAACAAATGACAGGAATCGTAAAATATGTCTTTCAGAAATTAAGTAAATTATTAAGAAACTAAGAAAAGTGTATCGAACTGCTATCTAATATCTTAAATGACATTGAATAACAGATAATCTCTTTATTATTGAAGAAGACATTTAAATAGATATAGACGTGGTTCTATCAATCTTCTTCTATACAGATCGCGTCTCTTCAGGACGTTGGCGATCATGGTTCTTCCCATTCCCCCTGTCCTTTGTAGCTCTTAATAATTTTTTTGTTTTTGCCTAAATTCTGTTCTAAAATAACCAAACTTTTGTGTTTTAGTGACTGGATGACGGAACAAAACGGGACGGTAAAGGAACAAAAGTTACTTAGAGCAATAACAGACCGGAAGTAGTGAAGATACACGATCGCCAACATCCTTAAGGGACACGTCACATAAAAGAAGCATTTATATTGGTTATATTAATCTTTATTAGGTATCGTCAATATAGTTAAATATTGTTATGTTTACTTAAACATAATTCCTAAACAAGTGTTTAAATAGGCATCTGTTTGAAAATACAACTATAAGAAGAAATGTAGTATTGTTTGCAACATTTATTCTTGATTAAATTGAATTGCTACAGTAAATACTAGAATCACCAAGAAAAATTCAAACGAAGTAGTGACATTCTTGATAGACAAACCTCTTTAAACTAAACGCACTTAATGAACTTCCAATGTCAGACAAGATTTTATTCGTTCAAAATAGGTGCAATTTGACCGATATTTTTTGTAAATATTTATAACGCACAATAACATACAATTTTGGCTTAAACAAGTGATTTCAGTCGAGCATAGCTCGTCGCTGTGTGTTCCCGCCTTTCCTGAGCATTCAATTGACCACTGGGAGATCAAAGTGGATAAGATCCGGTAACTTTCACTTTCAATTTTACTTTCTACTTTGGTTTTGTTTTCTTAACATCAATAAAATGAGTTCAATGTGCGTCTTTGGAGCTGCGCGTTGAAGTCGATATTTTTGCACTAAACATTTTCTTTCTCATCTGTCGTGATGACTGAAGCGAAAAAGAAAACTTGGGTGTCATTATTATCTAAGAGGATGTTTTCAGGCCGAAGGAAAGGAAACTTAATTGAAAAAACAGAAAGACAAAAAGCAAAGACAGGGTGCGAATGAAGACTCAGGAGTCGGAAACAGAATAAAGAAGCTAGTGGTAGAAAGAAAGAAAATATTGTAAAAAGTGGAGAGAGGGTGAAGAATGGAATACTGTCAAAGGGCAAAGTGGTTGCAGGTGGTTGATATAATGAAGTAAAATACGAAACGTAAATAAAGAATACAAAAAGTATAATAATGGTAAGGTAATATTTTCGTGACTAAAGCAACAACTAATATATTTGTGGTATGTATTGTTGATAAGAATAGCGAACCAATTAAAATGAGAGACGAAACAGAAAAAAAGCATGAAAAAAAAGATAAAAGGAAATAGTATAATAAAAAAGGGAATGCGATAATTGGAAAATAAGGCGGGGAAAAAAGGAAGATGAGGGAAGGCGAAAGAAAAAAGAGTAAAAAAGAAAAAAGAAGAGAGGGAAAATGAAAGATAGAGAAAAAGTAAGCGATAGAACAAGAACAAAGAGGGGAGAAGATAGAGGAAGGAAAATAAAGTGTGAGAAGAAGAAATATACATATATATATATATATATATATATATATATATATATATATATATGATAAAAGCAAAATAAGTGTAAATATATATAAATGTGTGTTAAAACAAGAAACAAAAGGAGATTGTAATGAAAACAAAAATTGATAGCATCGAATGTACATTTGCAGGAGAAGGATATACTGAAGAAGTGAAACAGAAACAAGAATAACAAAGCATCCGCAAAATAGAGTGAGTACGACGAGAAACAATTTAAGCAATTCAAGACACAAAATGGAAAGGAACATACGAAGAAAGCAATGAAAGACAAGAATAGATAGAAGGATAAGAAGAAAGAAGAAAGCTATGTTGATAGGCAACAAGAGAAAGAGAAATCAGTCAAGAAGAAAAAGTAGACAAATAACATCCACAACAACAACAACAACAAATATACCTATATCTATAATAAATTACGAAGACAGCAGCAAAAAGAAAGATGCATGATGAGGAATATGAGTAAAATAAGCCAAAAGATATGAAGAGATAGAAGAAAGAGGAGGAAAACAAGAAGAAAGGTAGGAAGACAAACAGGAAGAAGAAAGAGAAGAAAAAGCAGGAGAAGAAGAAGAAATTATAAGATATTAACACAAAGAAAAAGTAGGATGAAAAATGTAAGAGAAAATGAAGCAAAGACAATCATAGATTGAAAAAGAAAAACGTAGAAAGCTAAAAGATATACAAGAAGAAGAAGAAGAAGAAGAAGAAGAAGAAATTTTAAATATGAGTTAAATATAAAAAATTCACCCCCCCCCAAAAAAAAACAAAACAGTAATAATCGCCAATATAAAAAGGCAAGTCAGGAAAGAACGTTAAAGTGAAGTTACACATTCATAAGACTCGGGTGAAAAATAAGCAAAAGCGAAAAGGGGGAGAATTTAAAAAAAAAATACGAAAGAAAAAAGAAATGAGCGGATCGGCGAAGTGATATGTACTATTGCCTTTATGAATACCTGTTATTTGACATCTTTTCATGTGTGTGTGTGTATTTGTTGCCGTCGGTGGCAGCGTTAATGGTGGATGCAATCTGGGTTCTTGTGCATGTAACAAACACTTTTCCTTCATTCAATTTCCATCTTCAACTTTTTGATATGAACGTTTTCTTTATCTCTTAGGTATAAACACACACACATACACACACGCATACATACATATATATATATATATATATATACATACATACACATATATATATACGGACGCTTTTATATAGGAGAATTTTCTTGATTTGCTTTCTAAAATACCTCCTACTGACATAAGAAACACACATTTACAGAAGAAAAGCTGCTTGATATTTCTATTTTCATGGAATACACAAGTATATGTTGATATACAAAGTAATGTATCTATTCAGTACGTGAACGCTTGCGCATAAACAGACTGAGCGTCACAATCTTAAGTGCTAGAAGTAGTGATTGTACCGCTCAGTCAAAAGAATCAGTCTGAACCTACACGAATCAGTAAAAAGACATCATTCACATGTCAGAATACTGGCCAGTATTCAAAGAAGTGCAAAAACATAAGTGTTAATAATAAGAAAATTCATGATCTATCTATCTATCTATCTATCTATCTATCTATCTATCTATCTATCTATCCTTTGTTCATAGTTGTCTGTCTCTCTATCTATTTCAACCCGTTCCTACTTAGCTTTTTCTTTATCAATCCAAATCTGTTCATATGTATGTATCAATAAACCTTTATAACGTTACAGCCATATCACGTTGATACATTGGTTCCGAAATTAAGCAACGTTGACCATAGATGGGTGACCGCTTGGGAATACCAGATTCACTTACGCGCAAATACCCTTGGGTAAGGTATGAATCCACCTATTCTCCCCATGCCTAATAATGGTTTATCACTAAAACATTATCATCTCCCTAAAAATAATAAATTCTTAAAATCTAAAAATATTTTCTAATTTTAAATAACATGTATAGTGTTGATAAACAATAGAAAACGAATCGCTCAATCAAATGAATCCTTATGTCTGTTTCTGACTTAATCACATGATACCTGTTCTAAATCTGCTCATATATATGCCTCTCTTTCCATCTATTTAAATATGTTCTTATATACATATTTATTTCAATCTGTTCATCTCTGTCTCTCTAATTTTGTATCTATCTATCTGTCAAATTTAGTCAATAGTTGCCATCACGAAGAATTAGCTTTTATCAAATTAGCGAACTATTTCCACTTGAAAACAGCGACATTCAAAGCATGAAAATGCATTACGCGAGACGAGTTTGACTTAACCTGTTTTATACATTTGACTTTCAAATGCGCAGTTGTTACGAGACAATAGCTATAATTCACATCACATGACGCTGATCAAGTTGTATTGAATAAGACCGACAAAGAGAGTTCTGTCAATTTTGTATTAATTTATTTCTGATCGCTTAAAATATTTCTAGTTCTATTTGTATATTTATAATATTAGCATATCATTGAAATGGTGTAATGGCTATCAGATTAGAATTCACCAAATCAAGTTCAAACTCTAGTTAACTCTAACGTTTGATTGTATCCTCTTCGCATAAATTAACCTTGTTGAATTCAGATTTCTTTGCTTTCTCTCCTATTTCAAGACATAGCGACTATTGTCCACGCCACGATGGTACGTAGAGAATGCTGATGAAGTACCTTGTCTTTCAACTATAACAGTAATATTATTTGTCACATTCATTCTTAGATTTGACATATGCAGGTCTCTCTCTCTAAACACACAACGCACACACATAAATGAATTAGGATACACTTACACACATAAATTACACACACGAACGAAGAGCAATTATTAATTCAATTTAAATAGGACGCACACACAACCTTAAGAGTCCATTGGTTATAATATATTTTCTCACGTATATGATTTTTACCTGGTTCATCAGACTGCACTTCCAAGGGTGAAAAATGTTTTAAATTTCATATAGTTTTATACATTTTTGAGGGGTAGTTGTAAGTTGATGTAAGGTAATATCGAGAGAGGGGTAGGAGAAACATGACAAACACGGTCATAATTAGAGAGGGAAGGGAGAGATTGGAATAATTTTTAATCTATTTTTATTAAGATATTTAAGAGTAAGAAAGGGGGATTGAACCAGACATTGACCTATTTAATAAGTCATCTCACAGGAAACTAGAAAAAGAGAAGTAAAGATGTAAGAAAGTAAAAGGGGAAGTAGGGTTTGAGGACGAAATGGGAAAGAGAGTTTGCAAAAGATAAAGGAAAGGAAAAGGAAGGGTAAATTAACATATATGGGCATATTACTCTAAATTAAAAAAAAAACAGAAATTTTTATATTTGACTGATTTTTATATTTGGCAGTTAATATAAGCATTTTTGGAGAAAATCCACATGGGGTATTTTCCTTTTTCATCACCTGCTTTATAAAATATTCAAATTAAACGCTTTGGCCTAGAATGCTCGCAATCTAAATTATAGTGCAGGAGGACATTTTCTGCATATTTAATAAATAATTTGTTTGGAATGAGTATGCCGCGAGAGAGAATTTTCTCAAAGAATAAAAAGAAAAAAAAATGGTCATCATCTCCAGCTGTGAAACAAAAATACTGTTAATGGGGATCTCTTAAAAATACACTTCAATAAAAGTTATAAAAGAGATGTTTTCGGTAAATTTTTAAAAGCAATTTATATTTCACATTAGGGATTTAACAAAACGCTGCAATACTGTAGTCTTGAATGCTCATTGATGTCTGAGGAATTTATTCTATTCGCTGCCGTAGTGTCATCAGAAGATAAAAACAGCGCATATCAAAATCTTTCCGTTAAAGTAACGTAAAGTAACCTAGATCTTCTTTGATCCTGTACATACATGCCTCCTTATTCGTGCGAGTCATCTTGATTGGTCATTTTATGTTGATTTCATGCAATTCGTTCAAAAGCTCTATCTTGAAGCTTCCACCATATTGATATACTGAGCAATATTCTCCTTCTTCTTCTTCTTCTTCTTCTTCTTCTTCTTCTTCTAAATGATTATATTGGTTACTTTTTCGTATATATATATATATATATATATATATATATATATATATATATATATATATAATATACGGGGCGTATCAAATATGCTTTTTACAAGCTTTGGGGACTTTTCCTCACACCAAAACAATGGCAAAAATCTATATAAACTAATGTTCACTATACGTTTGTTATTGAGGTTCGTCTCTACAGAGACGACGGAGTTATCCTCCTACGTAAAACCAATCCCAAAAAAACAGACCGATTTAGGCAACAACAACTTATCAAGTTCTTCAAGGATTACGTACTGAATATCATCAATAACATCAAACCAAGGTGATGAACTTTCTGGATACTACTTTCGACCTATCCAGAGGAGTGTACATGCCTTATACTAAAGAGCTTTATAACCATAAATACTTTAGTAAAGAATCCAACCACCCACCTAGAATTTTAAATAACTTGTACAAATCTTTACAACACAGACTCTCAACTAAATCTAGCAACAAAATTAACAACAAAAATAACAGTAACGTCAATATCAACATCGGTAATATTTTCTTGAATCTAATGCACAACAATTCCTAAAATTTTTCTAAATCTAATACACAAAAATTTCAACCAATGTAATCAAATGTCCTGGACAGGTCATCTGACACGTATGGGGGACATCAGATTGCTAAAAACAGTTTATGGTGAGCTGGTACCCGCTCATAAGCCAAAAAACGTTTCAAGGATGTAGTTGTAGGTACTGGCGTGAGATCACTTGAAAATGAGTATAGCAAGATAATAACGGCCTTAAACTTGACGAAAGCAAAATTTTATCGTCAAAATGTTTATGGTACTATTAAGAAGAAAGAACAAAGTAAGTTTTAATTTAAAAAAAAAAAATTCTGTCTTTATTAAGACATTTTAACTTTTGATTGAAAACCCTTGTTTCTCTTCATCAGTGGAACTACTAGTAAATAACATAGCAAATTTTTTGCATCTTTTATGACCGACATTAATTTTATAAATCTTGAAAAAAATAAACATAATTGTGGATTTTTAATGAAACTTTCAAAAACTATTCACAAATGGTGGAGATTATTATAAATATCTTTATTTTTTTAAAAGTCAATGTAAACTTTTTTATATTTATTACCTCCATAACTAATTATATTAAAAACTCTTGAAATTCTAAAGTGTACATTTTTAGTGATTAATTAGTTAAAAACACAAGGCTTTGAGGAAAGTAAATCATGTTTTTTTTTTAATTGACCTCCACCTTAAAATAAACTCTGAATGGTCATATACAAAATTCAATAAAACAAAGATATTATTAGATTTCAAAAGCTTTTAGTTCCTTTTGCTTCTATTTATGAATATGGATAATATTTTCTGAAAGCAAAAAACGTTTTTGACGAAAAATAAATTTATACAAAAATTATTTGTTATTTCTTAAATTATTTTATTGTTTACATTAAAGTTGTTAAATATTCTAAAACTAATGAAAATGGTGTACAGGCCAATCGATGGTGTTATTAAATAGATATATAGCATTACAGATTTTCAATAGTAAAGCTGATTAAAATCAGCAAAGTCCAAATAGATAAAAATCTAATATAACATGTTTTTATATTTATACGACTGTAATTCAAATATACGGAAGACCGGAAACACCATGAAAAGAGAAAAAATGTATAATATTTCAAATGATAAGGGTACCTACAAAGTATTATGTACATATCTTATGAAATCTATATGGTCTTATTTTTATATTATCTCAAATATCAAAATTAATAAAATAAGTGGAAATACAAATAATACCGTAAAATGTAATAAATGTATATTAAATTATATTTTATGTAGACTTAACCTTTCATAAGATAGATACCTAATTAATTTATGTACTTATGAAATTTTATCTCACTCTCAACAGTCGTAGTTTTAAAATTTTTATAAAGAATTTTAAACGTAAATGTGGAAAGCTAAGTACTAAGAAACAATAAAAAAATAGAGCGCTGTAATGTTTCCTTAAAAATAACGAGGTAAATATGTTGATTCAATAAAAAGCTAAATGATGTCACTTCTGTTCTTCCGTACGATAACCTTTCCTTGTGTAAGCTGTGAATACGTGCTGAAAGCATTAATAATCACATAGACACACATCGCTGCTGTTAAGACCTGCTGTCTCTTGTTTTAAAGTACATTATTTTCGCGCATAAAGTAATTAATGTTTGTTTTAAAATATATTAAGTAAACTTTAAAATGTCTAATTTTGTTCAAATAAATTTAAAAAATAAAGTATAATTGATTTTTGACAGAATTTTAAACGGAAAAAAACTTTTGTTTACAAAATTGAAAAAAAAATAGCTGACGATCGATTTTGTGTCAATTTTCATGAGGTGGACTTTGTAAAAACAAAAAATAGATATATATATAAAACGTAAAAACAAAAACACTTGAGCACCCTAGTAAAAACGTCAATATCCTGACCTTCATCGTTCGGTGGAAAGATGAGGTGCTGTCTAGAAGGCCAGTACCAAGGCAAAAAACGCCTATTATACTTTTTAGTAAGATGTCAGACGAGGATAGATGACAGCCATACTGGTAGTTGCCATAGTTTGAACTTAGTTTTCCCACACAAATAATATTATACTTGCTATGAATTGTACCCACTTTATTAAAATCTTGAATTCTCTGGGTTGAAGC